GCTATTTGCGCAAACCGGAGATGACGCAGTTGCCTTACAAGGCATTCTGCTGTCCTACATTGACGACGCAATAAAGCGATTCGAACAGAGTTAGAGGAGTCAAGCCTGTCAATCGATGATTCCAAGTCAAGCGATAAAGACGTTAAGAGCTCGAGAGATGTACTTAGCGGGTGTGGAGATGGAGTCGGTCGGATTGCGTAAAGGTCAATCAGACTATGGCTATCACGGAGGACAAACCCGTACGAATCGGATTAGAAAGACCCGAGGCGGCCATTAATGGCGCCTGCAGAAGTGTCAATAAATAAAGGGCCGTCTCCTCAGCGTATCCTTTTCTCGGTGATCGGCGAGCTGAAGGAATCTAATGGCAGAGACCGAGACGAAGATCGCGCCAGAAGCTGAATCAGCAAGGTCGAATTGGCGTTACTAAGGGACCAAATACCAGATGAAGAAAAATTCCTGGTGTTCGATGATCTACTGACTGGACCGGCACAGAAATGGCACAGTCAACTGAGTCGCCCTACTCGTCGAACGTGGAAATATCTGCTGGAAGGTTTCATGGTGCAATATGGAGGGTACGGTGTGTCAAATGCCAGAAAGTATTACCATGCACGAAAACGACCGGATGAAACCCCGCTGGAGTATTCACAATGAATGAATGGGGCAGCGATACGAGCCAAGGTCGCGATTCGAGAACGAAGACAAGCTACGCGGCGTAAACATGTGGAGCATATTATTTCTACGCTAGGCGATCGCGATTTAGCGAAACAGTTGACTCTACTGCGATTGTCAGACGCCGACGACATGGAAGAAACGTTGCGTGCACACCAGCGGATGGAAAGCCGGTACACGCAGACGTCGATGGAATCGGAAAAGTTTCAACAGCGATTAAAAGTTAATGTTGGTCAGGTGCCGTCAAAATCAATTCGAGCCGTACGAGCGATCAGGGTGGAAAGCGAGAGCAGCAGTTCGGAGTCGGATCAAAGCAAATCGGAAGAGGACGTGGACCGGTGCAGAGTTTGTGCAACGACCGTCTTCACTCGAGTGCAATCAAACTAAGATCATCGTATGCCGCATGAAGAAGCTGATCGGGAGGAGTTACGCGATCACGGAGAGCGATCTAAACCGTGCATTTACTGTGGATCGATCGAGCATATTTATCGTGGCTGCTGGAAGCGATTGACTTTTCAGAACTGCGGCTGTAAAGGACCTCCATCGGACAAGTTTTTTACGCGTGTGCAGCTTGTGTAAAAGTGCTTGAGAATGTCAAGTGCCCTTTGGAAAAGTTCTACAATCTGTAGCGCCGGTGTAATATGCCCAATAAGCACGCAGGAATGTTTCCGTCCGAGGCGGAGGAGATGTTAAACTAGGACGCTCGTCAGGATGGAATATGGTACGAGCCGAGCGTTCTAGGCTCTGTATATATGCATTCGTTGAGAAATAAGTGAAGGATCCGGAAGTTAACGATCAGTCCAAGCCGATCGATAAAATACGTATTGATTTAACTTGTATCCCGGCTATTGCAAGAGTACAACGAAATGATAAATACACTCGATCAGCCGTAAAGATGGAGCCAGATCTCGCACCAGAGGAATCACGTGGATATTGGAAATACCACACCCCTGGAAAGTGGTTCAACTAGGCTAAAGCGGTGTGCAAGAACAATAATGAGAAGGCCACTATTCTGTTTGATTCCGGTGCTGAAGTGTCAATCATCGACACCACCTTTGCTCGTAAGGTAGGGTGCATGATCGACGAAGGGCAGACTCAATAATGTGTCGGCATAGGGGAAACGCATAAATGACAATTGGTCGCACGAAGATCAAGATTACATTGGACGGCTTACTAGTGTTTTATTTCGACGTATAAGTCGGTGATCAAGTCGGTCAAGAGGCTATACTGGGTATGGATTTCATGGTTTGGCTTGATTTTGCTTGGATCTAGCGGACGTAACGCTATGTCTACCCGATGAAGTTCTCATTGTACGAGCGAAGTGTAAGCCACTTTATAGATCGACCATCCAAGCGACCAACCTGAATGATCTTCACGTGGTGATACCGGTCGGCAAACCAACAGAAGTGAGGATAGGTATCGCGCCGCCAAGAGCTAAACTGTGGGTAAGACGAGACGTGGAGTGGGTACCAACTGTGACTACCGGGCCTGGCAGGATCATCTATCTATAGCTCACAAACCTATGTGATCGCGAGGTGATTTTACGCTATGGAACTCCGTAAGGGCTGTGGATGGTAGAGGACACGATACCCTGATCGCAGGATTACGTGTCTGTGAGGTCGCGACGTTAAAACGAGTGGCAGACATCAGCGTTCGAGGCTATAACTGATCGAGAAGACGTCTCCCCCGCAAAGTATGAAGGGACTTAGGCTGATCAGCGATCATATCCTACGCCTAGAAAGCTCCAAGAATCGAAGACAGAAAAAGAGCCGAGGGACTGCAGTGCTGACAAGTTACAACCTGATCACTCTTCAACCGACAGCGCCGGGTGGAGGAGTATAACCAGGACACCGACTGGCATTATCCAGCTCTTATCGTATCACGGCTCTGCAGCCGTTACCGTGCTCACCGCCCGCCGGGGCGAGAGCGGATGAGCTCCCGCCGAGCAGTATGCAGGATGGGGGTGAGTCTCGGTATTGCGGCACAGGCTGTTAATGTGGCTGCCGGGGAACGCGGCAACGATCTCTGGCTTTCCACCGGTGGCGCTCCGACTGGGGTCCACGAGGTGGGGGCTTCGGATCAGGCTGTCAATCATTTATCGGTCGCTCAACCGGAGCCCGAACTTGGACAGGCTTCCGGATTGACTGGGAATCAGTCCATTCCAACAGGTAGTTTGCGTCATCGGCGCGGAGGCGTAGGAACGGAGGCGCGGCGGACAGACGGACCGATTTTGAGACCTTCGTGGCGCGCTCCCAGGCGGTCTCTCAGCCTCATCCGCCGCCTCCTTCACCTCCCGTACAGACGCGGGAGATGTTTGAGGCTCTAACTGCCTAAATGAAGGCTTTTACTGGACAGGCGTCCCTGAATGTCTGGCGCCTGACCGTTCAAGCTTATTCGCGCTCGAATATTCCCGGCATCCTGTTAGCTCGGACGCGTTGCCGGTTAATCGCAAAAGGTATCCTACGCTTATGGGTGCGGAGCTGGGGAGTTTGCTGGATCTGTTTTAGCTATGCTTTGTCGCGACACCAGGTACCTACGCTGACTGGGCACGGTTTGCCCACCAGATAGGCACGGAGCTTCTACTTACGAAGAGGGCTTTCAAGGAAATAATGAGCAAATCGACCAGCAAGCAGAAGTGGGCAACGGCTCCGATTCCGCGGCAGTGATCTCAGGTGGTACGAACGGGCAGCTCGACTCCCATGGACGATGCAGCAGGCAAGCAGCTTCCCGTCTTTGAAGATTTCATGTTTGACCCAACGAAATTTTCGGAGGCAGAGACGACCGCCCTTCGATTTATTTGCTCGGCGCGTTGGAACCGGGCTAGTGCTCACCGTCTTCGAGAGGGAACGGACGACGAATGGCGCATCATCATCGGGATGGCGGAGGGGCATATTGCCTATCGGAGGATGCCGGATTTTATCAATGCCTTCTTTAATAGTAATGAGCGCCTTCGTTTTTGTTGCATTGCCCAGGCCCAGGTACAAGGCCAGTTGTTTTTGAATCTCCGTCATGGTCGGGACATCCCCATTGGCCGTAGGACCACTCACGCCATCACGAAAAAGATTCTTGAATCGGCTGAGTTAATGCGGGTCAGCTTGCCGGATCTCCACCGCCTACTCGGGCTGGCCAAAACGATCAGCTACAATCAATCCACTCGATCCATTCATTTTTACTTTTTTCGCGGAAAATTGCCATGGAAATACAGGATGTAGTTGTCCCTTTTCAAGGCCGGGTGTACACACTGGAAAACGTTCACCAGCCAGCTTGAGGGTCCGTTTGGTTGAATCAACGCGGTCCAGACGGGCGGTCAGGGAACCCCAGGGCTGCGTACACCATTCTTCTCGATAATTTGACACGATTTGATGACATTGGGCGCATCCTGCATACTTGCGCTCCAAGATACCGACTGATTTTGAGCTGCAGGACATGGACACTTGTACCCCCAACTCACGTACGTCCACAGCCTGGAAAATTACGTTTCACTTGGCTGGTTGCCTGATTTTCTTACAAGGCATAGTACGACTTCTTTGGATTGGGACCTATTATTGTACGGCATCCGAATGTGGGCCGCCGGCTCCAATTTCTGCAGTGCGGTACGCTCGGCCATCATGCGTCGAGGTTTCAGTTCACCGACGCGCAATTACGAGGGCCGGACGGACTAGAGGTCTACGAAGCAGAGCTCGTCGCGGTCCAAGACCTCGCGAAACCTTTTAGTAGCCCGGACGAGATGAGGCAGATGGCGCAGCGACGTCTTCATGTGCAGCAATAGGCAGACGTCGCCGCGCAGGATGCGGTGACTCCGGAGATTCCGATCGCTGCTCCCAGTCCCTCTCCGGTAGCTGTGCATCATCCTACTGGTCTACCTCTTCAGCCCGTGTATACTACTCAGGGCACGCACGAGGGCCCACCACCTCCAGCCGCAAAACCCAGGCCCGAGCAGTTATGGCTCACACAACCTCATCCGAGGCGGTCGTCGGTTTAGGTCCATTACCAAGGCTCCCCCTGCCCAGCACACCGTAAGCAGCGGCGGCTATCACGTCCTCCAAGATCTGGATCTTGCAGAAGAGATTCCAGCTGGACCCTCCGACAGCGGTAGTGCCTCCGCCTCTTTACAGCCGGCGGTTCGGAAGGCTTCGCCTACTGGTATTTCCACCCTGCACTCCCACCCTCAGCTGCAGCCAGAGAAACTGGCGCGGAAACGTGCAGCAGGCATCAGAGGACCGGCCTTAGTCACCGCGGGCCCGGCGCTTCTGACCCAGCAGCGTCGGGAGAGGCAAGAATGCGAGCGGCTGGTGCAGCTTTTGCCAGACAGGAAACGCCATCCTGTACCCATGGAATTCAAACCGTCCGTAGAACCTGTTCACATACGCGAAGTTTTGCGCATTGTTGGACTTCGGAAAGTCAGCACACCTGCGAATGGCAATTGCTTAGCGATTGCTCTTGCCCAAGCGTTTGCTGAGTCTGCTTTGGCCGCTCCCGCTATGGACCAAGAGCTTTTTACAGCGGCACTCAAACGGGGCATCAAGTCTACAGGGCTTTTGAACTTGGAGGATCAGCTTCCTCACGACCTGCGTGTTCAGGCACTCAAGAATGTGGGCCACGGGGAGGGCGACGATGATGCGCAAAGAGTCGGCCTCGCAACTACGCTGGTTCTTGGCGGACTACGCGGCTACCCCTTCGGATCGGACCTCGCCGGTGCCAGACAACTGTTAGGGGGGCAGTGACACCCTTAACATGGCAGCCACATTTTTTCAACGAGACATATTTGTCCTTAAAAGCGGTGACGGCACTACTAAAGGGAGCTGTCGGAAGTACCACCCTGTTTCCCTTACCATTCGGGGCCGGGTGGTGGCTTCTGCCAAAGAATACCCGCTTTCTTTCCTGGCGGGCATCGATGAGCTGCAAGCGACAAAAGTCGCTGATCCACAGAATCTACCATAATTGTTGAGGCATGGTGGAAGCCACTACTCGGCTCTGCTCTAATTTTGATGGAGTTGCCGACCCGTTGAAACTTACGGACGATATCGATTTGCCGAACGTTGCGACGCGGCAGGAATTCATGCCATCATATGAGGTCATTACGGCCACATCGCTGGTTCCATTGGAGGGCAAAAGTTGTGCTGGGGCACCCACGAACGTAGAACATCTACCCGACGGCTGCGTCCGCACGTCGCTCGTCGTCTATGATGCTGGTAGCACATTCCCACCTTCCTCGCTCCAGCTATATTCTCAAATGGCGTTGGACTCTGCTTCACTCGACTCCAGCGGCCCCAAACGGGCCTCTTCGGCTCGTAAACGAGGGTTTGGCAGATCTACTCCACTACTGGTGGCGTCTGGGGTCCACGACATCGAAGTGCCAGCCGGCTCTCATCACAAAAAGGGGCGTGTTCAGTCCGACATGTGCCATCTTTCGCTCGCCGAGACAGACGCCAGAATTTATCGGGAGGAATGGCCCGAACTTTGGGCATCTTTAAGTGCCGAATGGCCGGGTACAGCTGTGACCCCTAATCCTCTCGTTTACGGCGACACGGACGGATGGGAAGCAACTGCCCGTTTGGAACCTGAGCTGTTACTTCATTATTTACGCCCCTTTGTCCTTCCTGACGAACTCCTGGCTAGCCTGGCTGACACAGGTTTGGTGCAGTGGACGGCTCTGTGGCGCCAAGAGTGCCTTTTTTCGGGCTCCTAACGTTTCGACAAAGGGTTACGGATTCGCCATCGATTGTGCGGCTTGACCAGTGGATCGCTCGGACGCAGCAGCGCCTTTCTCCATCTAAGTTGGCCCCCCTGGTTGACAATTCTGATGATTGGAAGAAGATGCGAGACGCCAACTATGCGGCGGACGACATTTTACGTTTGTGTGACCCGCACAGACGCGTCCGCATGAGTCACCACTTGATTTGTGCCATCGTCTTTACAGAAGAAAGTTACGCGCTGACGGGGACCGGGGAGAATTTGTTGCGCCCTCCTGAGCAACTCCGTTGCCACCTACAATTGTTGCGGACAAACGCTACCTACAAGGACGCGTATAACCCAGGCGGTGGGTCTCGTGTTGGTTGGAGCGAGCTCGTTTGCTATTTTACTACTGCTTTGTCTCCTGTGGAGCAGCAGTTCCTACTTGAGTACTGAGGGCAGCTTACAGAGGAACCCCTTTACGAGCCATGCCGATATTCTCCTTTGGGCAGGTGAAGCTTATGGTTGGGAACGCATCCTTAGGGAATGGCCAACGTCTGGTGAGTTCCCACTTTCTACTACGGATCCAAGGGGAGGGGACAGGATAAATATCTCCTAAAATGTCCAAGGATTCAAGGCCAGCGTCCGGGAAGGTTGGTTGTCGGCATGGAGAGGGGAGCCTCTGAGTCGTCGCTTACTGTTTTGGTGCATTCAAGAAACGCATGTGCACACTGAAGCGGAGGCAGAATTGCTCCGGTGGCGCTACGCTCGATTGTGGGGCAAACACCTCGATCCAGACGCACCTCCTCTATCATATTGGAGTATTGGCTCTGCCAGTCGAGCTGGGGTGGCCATTCTCCTCACCCCATCTTCGGCCCAAGGAGCTTTAGCCTGGCAACCAGAGCGCTGGTATCCGCGGGCAATAGCGATTTCTCTGGGGGATGGAGTTATCATGAATGCCTACGCGCCCACAGTGCGGGGGGAGCAAGAAGCTTTTTTTGCTTCTCTGCTCCGTTGGGATTTGACATCTTCCAATACCATGCTGGCGGGAGACTTTAATTGCGTCCAGTGTTCTCTTCTCGATCGGTTCGGCTGTCACCGCTCTCACCGGTCGGAAAGCCCGGCCCTGGACGGGGTAGTTGCGACACTGAGCTTGACTGATGCGAGATTGCTTCGGGAGAACGCAGAGGACGACGGTTTTGAGGATCCAACGAATCATTTTACATACTGGAACGGGGAACACGCTAGCCGCATCGATCGATTCTATGTTCCCACGGGATGGGTTGACCGGGTTCTGTGGGTGGACTCGCGGGTACCGTCACATCAGTCGGATCATCAGGAGGTTGTATTATATTTGCGGGACTCCATCAAGGCTCGCACAGCTAGCAAAAATTGTCGGGTGGCGCACCCGATCACTTCATCGAATCCGAGCAGAATCATTGACGAAGTCGTCACAGAAATGGATGGCATGGCTATAGGGCAGGGGATTTTAACCCTTTCTTGGGATTTTGCTGCTGAACAGTGCCACCGGTACATTCGACGCATCAGAAATAGGATCCAGCAGCGCAGGGCTAGATTCCGTCTGAAGCTGCAGGGCCGCGCTCGACGACCCTTAATCACTCGGGCACAATTTATCTCTTGCAATATGGAAGAATTACGACAAGGACACCTTGTGCGACTCGGTACCCAGCTCGCACAATCGGCTGACCAATTACGAGAGTTTTATCATCGAGTATCCAATTGAGAATGTAATCAATCCGTCACAACCATTACACGGCTTCATGGACCGGCCTTTACCCGCAATGTGACTGTTGCAGACAAATTTGCATCCGAATGGTCTACATTTCTTGGAGTTGTTCTTCGCAAGAAGCCTCGCAAGAACTTGCCCTCTGCAATCTGGCGTTTCGTCAATCTACCTGCGGAGCGTATGTTGACGACTGCAGACAATTAGGCTCTTTTTGCGGATATTACAGAAGCCGAAGTCCTCGCAGCCATTTATGGTCTCAATAGACATAAATCTGATGGACTCGACGGGCTAAATAATAATTTTTACAAGGATACGTCGGCACTTCTCGTATCAGTCTTGGTTTAACTCAGCAATCAAATTGTGGCGGGAGCGGATCCCCCGCCCTCTTTTCTCAAAGCTTTGATCATTCCCTTGCAAAAAAAAGGTGACTTGGAGGATGCGATGGATTACCGGCCGATTTCTTTGCTTCAAACCAGTTACAAAATCTTCGCAAAGGTGCCGGCGACGAGGTTGCAATGCGTGTAACCAAAAATTATTGGTGACTCTCAGCAAGGCTTCGTACACGGTCGCCAGATGTCCAAACTGGTGATGATGATGCTTGCACAACTGGCTACTGCTACATTCGATGAAACACTCGCAGCCGAAAACAGCCGGGTGTTCCTTCTACTAGACTTTCGAAAGGCCTATGACACGGTGGACCGGGAATTTTTGTATGAGGCTCTTCGCCACTTCGGCTTCGCGGAGAGGTATGTTCGACTTATCACTCGGCTACAGACCGGTGCCACAGCCTCTTTCATTGTAAATGGCGAGCAGTCCAGCCCAATTTCAGTTGTTTTCGGCATCCGGCAAGGTTGTCCGCTTGCCCCTCTGCTTTTCCTGGTCGTGATGGAGCTGTTGAGTATTGCATTACAACAATCACCGGATCTGTCGGAGCTTTCAGTACCTGAGCAACATCCTGCTACGCATACGTTCTCGGCGTTCGTGGACGACTCGACGATATTTCTCGACAAGGCCAGTCAGCTGGGTCCAGCGCTAGCCCTTGTCTCTCACTTTGGGGCCTTATCAGGGCTGGAGGCGCAACCGTCCAAGAGTCAGATCATTTGTCTTAACCGAGCGGTGCACCTATCAGAGTTGCGAGGCATAACGGTCCTCCAACCTTCGAACACAGTAAGCTACTTGGACTATCATGTCGGGTTGAGGGATTTGTATCATCGCAATTGGGCCCTCTGTGTTCAAAAGCTTCAACGGCGGCTATTAACAGCTTCCAGAGTGGCTACGAGTGTGCAGGATCTAGTAGTGATTTTTAACTCAATCATCCCCCGTCTGTACTGTTCACGGCAGCGGTTTTCGATATGCCTGAGTGGGCACGACGCGAAATTCGCAACTTGTACAAACAACTTCTGTGGGCACATCCAACCTCAACGGACTCCAGCATCCACAAAACTAACCCGGGCCTACTCTACACCCATAAAAAGGCAGAAGGGTTGTCTTGGCCTCCTTAGAGGTGGTCGTTAAAACACAGCGTACGAAGCACGCGTTGCAGTGGCTCACGCAGGCTCAAGACAAATATTTTGACGCCTGGTGCTCGTGGGCTTATCAAGGCCGGCCGTCGACTTCGAGCCTGATTCTTCATGGCTGGTCACAGGTCACCGAGGCTTCTTATTGTTTCGCGACTCCGTACAAAGATACCTGGGTCCACGACTTGGACATGCTCCCGCAGCCTACGGCGGGGCAAATCTCTGTATTGTGTGATCGGGCCCTTACGTCATCTCAAACCATCCTCCCCGGCGCCATCAGTTGGTGGGAGGAGGACGACTGGGTTTTGTCGTATTATAACCCTTTTCCGAATGGTGCGGCTTCAACGGATCCCCAACACTGAGAGTTGGGTCGTTTTTGGAAGACTATGGGGGTGGAGCAATAACCCGTGGATTCGGGATGTCAATGGTCTTCCATTACGGTCCTCAACATACGACCGGGTCGCGGTCTGTAACATTTCGGACCTGCACATTCGGCGAACAGGGCCTACTGAATTAATTTTCAGCATCAAGACGGCTGGACCTAAACTTGTTCACCACTCGCAGCCTAAACTACGCCACTTGGCGACGGCGATCTTGCTGGCATCACCTCCTGCCCCCATTGGAGAGGAACTAGCTATTGAGCCTGCGCTGGTGCTTCGCCATCCACCGCCGTTCCGCTACGATTTTACCTGGTCAACGGTGCGACGTGGTCGCGTCGTCGGGACAAGGTCGGGGACTGGGGCCTTAGCTGGCCGGCCAGTTAATCTGAATAAGAGTGCGGATGGAA